TGGAAAGTGCGAATATGTCCCTGGAAACTCCAGGAAAAGACTATGAAGTGGCAGACATTTCAACACCATTGCCTGTATTACATGGGAAGTAGAAAAATGTGCTTAATGAATTTTGTGACTTAGTTAGGAAAATTCCACTCAGAATATTGAAGGTGTCAACACATTTCTTCTTGTTGTATGTAGTAAAATATAAAAGGAGAGAGATTAGCTAAAAGAATGAGTCTTAAGCAAAAAGAAGAAAGAAAGTCTTGGTATTGAAGAGTCCCAGATTCTCCAGATGACAATTGATACACACCGTTGTGTGTCACGTAACAACTGGTATATGTTCTGAGAAATAGGTTATTTGACAATTTCATTGCTGTCTCATAGCATATATTCACACAAGCCTACTCTACGTCTAGGATACATATAGGGACCATTGTCACATGCGTGGTCTGGTGTGGACTGAAAAGTTATAAATGTACATGGCTATACTAAGAAATGACTTTTGCACAAAATCAAATCCAGAGAGAATCAGAAAAACAGATAATCTGTTTTGTTACAGTCTCAAAGTATCAATCATGCTTCTAAGAGCATAAGGATGCTGTCCCTCGTAATCTCAGTAGCAATCCAAAGTAGAGTGTGACCATCTCAGTGGAACAAATCCATTAACATTTATAAGAGCAACAAACTTTTAAAAAAAGTTCAATTGACCAAAACATCAGCCCTTTAGTGTGCAGTGGCAACAACTTTTGAGTCCTATATCAGCTTAAACTGAAAGGGATAGAGATAGTACAAATGGAGAAGATATCTTCTATGTAGAAAATAAGATGAGAAAACTGATGCTGCAAACACAGGATATCTTCCATGGAAAACTAATTTAGAACACAGAACCCAGGGATAAGAAAGCAGTGCCAGGAACCATGGAGGAAGAAATTGTCCTCAGACCGAATCTGAATTTCAGAAGTTCTGTGGACAGTGATATTGTCCCCCACGTTGACATGGAGTGACTACAGCAGTTATCCTACACCTGTTCCATTATCATAGCTTGGCTTGACATCGGGCAGGCAACTTGTCTGTTTAGTACATAGATCTTGTATAGTAACCTACCTGAATTGATGAGCTTGGGGTTCCTAATTAAGAAACCACACCAGAAGAACCTGCCTCACACTTGTATCTGAAGTGCTTCTCATGATGTCCAGTATTCCTACACACATATTTTTTTTACTTGCATATTTTATTTATTTTTTTCTGTTATTTATATTTTATATATTTTTACATCATTTTTCATTTTTTGCACAATGTATGCATTTTCATCTTGATTATAGTCCCTATACAATTCCCACCGCCCTTGTTTTGATCCTACTCCCTTCTCTTCTCCCTGCCCTGTGTGTCTCTGGTTTATAGTTGCTTGTTGATTTTGATTTTTACCCTATTATAATTAGTCTTTTTCCTGGGCCCTTATTTAGGTTTTCTAAATTCCTGCTATGAGGGAGACCATCTGGTATTTTTCTTTTTCTTTCTGGCTTATTTCACTGAGCATGATCCCTTTCAGCTCCATCCATGTTGCTGCAAATTGCATGAGTTTTTTTTTTTTTTTTTTTGATTGCTGAGTAATAGTCCATTGTGTATATGTACCACATCTTCTTGATCAGTCATCTATTTTTGGGCATGTGGGTTGTTTCCATAGCTTATCTATTATAAATAGTGCTGCTATAAACATAGGGGTGCAGGTGCCCTTTTGAATTAATGTTTCTGTGTCCTTTGGGTAAATACCTAGTTGTGGAATTGCTGGATCATAAGGAAGCTCCATCTTTAGCAGATTGAGGAATCTCCGCACAGCTCACCAGTTTGCACTCCCACCAGCAGTTCAGGAGAGTTCGTTTTTCTCTACATCCTCGCCAACATTTGTTGTTGCTAGTTTTTTTAATATGTGCCATTCTCACTGGTGTAAGATGGTATCTCATTGTCCTACACAAATATTCTTTTTTTAAAAGATTTATTTATTCATACAAGAACAGGGGTACAGGCCAGATGTGCGGGGGGTTGAGATTATTCACCAGAGACAGAGCAGGGAAAAGAACAAGCAGATGGACTGAAATACACTGCTGAGGTGAGCAGCAGCTTCACAGTGCTGCACTCAACTGCCTGCACCACCAGAGAGGCCCCCTACACAAATATTCTTTTTTTTTTTAAGATTTTTTTTTTTAAAGATAGATTTTTTATTTATTTTTTTTATACAAGCACTGGGAACAGTCAGAAGCGCGGGAGGGTAAGAGAATTCACCAGAACCAGAGCGGGGAGCAGAGCAGGCAGAAGGACTGAAGTACACTGCTGAGGGGAGCAGCGGGTGGCAGGAGAAGTCTGCCTGCCATGTGGGACCCTCCTCCAGTGGCCGGGGAGCAGCTGGGGATCAAACCAGCGCTGCAGAGGCTGTGGACAGCTTCGCAACCCAGCACTCAACCGCTGCACCACCGGGGAGGCCCAGATTTTATTTATTTTTATACAAGAACCAGGGTACAGGCCAGATGTGCAGGAGGGTGAGAGGATTCACCAGAGACAGAGCAGGGAACAGAACAGGCAGACTGAAGAAATTCACTGCTGAGGGGAGCAGCGGGTGAGACAGGCGAGGTCTGCTCACCTTGTGGGACTCTCCCCGGCCAGCTGGGATCGAACCCGCACTGCAGAGGCTGCAGACAGCTTCACAGTGCGGCGCTCACCTGCCTGTGCCACCAGGGAGGTCCTACACAGATATTCTTAAAAACAAAAGTTCTTGTTTCTGAAAAGTGTGTTGACATCACAGAGAATATATGAGGCTTCACTTTTTGACATGTTGCTATAATTAACAGGGAATATTTAGCTCATGGCTAACATGATATACATGTTCTCACCCTTGCCACTAATGTGTCTGGATCTAAGACACATGATTAGATAAATTCTTAGAAATTAATATTAAATTGAAATACTTGCAAGTGGATAGAGTGTGGCCTGGGGCTCTGGGTCTGCCTATGGCACAGTGCGCTCTGGGCAAAGATCCAATCAAGGTATAAATTTTAATCACTTCTTTTATTAAGTTTTCCAGGCAGCTATTACACTTGAATAGGTACATTCTCTGATTTGGAAATCCAAGTCTTACAGTGTTATCATCGCAACAAGTCAGGGTACCTTACACAGTCTCAGCTCCACTAAGTTCCTAGAATGACCTTCCAGTAACCCTCTTTGAATCCTATAATACAACATCTTGAGGGGTCTTGTGGGTACCCAACCTCACAGTAAAACTGTCTACTCCCACCTAACACATACACACACTGTACCACTCCACCCCCCTCTCCACTCCTCCACCTCACCCCTGCCAAACCTAGACATGCATAGCCTAATGGCAAGGTATGGTCTTTGGAGGATGGGCATAGGGAAGAAAACTGTAAGGACTGGAGAATGGGCTTTAGCACCATTTGGTAGGAAATTCCACTGCCCAGCAGCCTTAGCTATACAGAACCAGCACTGTGTGGGCACTTACTCTTACCTCCATGGGCCTTTCATTCTGTAGGAAGAGAACAAGCTGGAGGAAGACAAATTGGGGCTCGCAAAAAGTCAGACCCAGAGAATCAGAATGCCAGTGCCTCAGGCTCCAGCTCAGAGCATTCTGCTCTACAGGCCTTTTGACCACAAGTTCAAGAATCATTTCATTTATGATTTGCCTTCTCAGAGTGTATTACAAGAGAAGGAAGCAGAATAGAGAGTTAAGTCAACTTGACCTCAGATATTTGTAAACTTGTGCTCTTGTCCCTGTAACACCCAACATACTGCAGAGGCAGTGAAGATGTGGAAAGAGATGAGGGAGTTGCAGCGGGTGGTGGTGGGGGGGGGGAAATCCCTATTTCTGTCTTTTTCTCCACATCTGCATCTTTCTCATCTCCATCACCTCCTAATGGGTGGCAGCTGCCCACAGGATAAAGGACTTAGTTGACAAACGTATGCCCTTTCTCTCTCCCTGTCCTTCTAAAGTAATTCCTCACTGTCTTCTTAGGTTTTTGTTGCTCTTAATAAGATGTTTCATACGCATATTTTAGTTTATTTTGCAAAGAAGTTGGTCTGAATTATAAAAGTAGAAGTAGATAATTTTTTCACAAATTAAGTTTTAGTGAATGGAATCCAGGTTTCCTCTGACTAGGTTTGAATATGCATCATTTAGCAAACATTTGTTTAACCAGCATTTACTGAGTGTGTTCTATTTAAAGCACTACAGCAACCATAAAAAGACAAAAAAAATTGAAGAAGATGCAACTTGTGTCTTGAAGAGTTTGTAGTCTTGGGGGAAGGGGTCAGATGTGTATAAATAGTAAAAGAGTGAAAAAAGGAAGGTGAAGTGCAGAAAATGAACTTAGTTTGCAAGAAACAAGCCTTGAGATCACAAATTGGAACAGAAATGTCATGTTTTGTGAGGATTATAAATCAAAGGTCTCGAAATGGTAGGCCACAGATTGAATTCAGCCCACAAACGTGTTTGCTTTGGCCCACACAGTGTTTTAAAAATAGGAGATTTACCATGTTAAAAAATCTGGATTTCCATCCTGTGAAAGCTCAGAAGATCTGGCAACTGTCCTTATTGCCAACTGGCAACCATCAGCTGGAGCAAAGTAGAGCTGGCTCCTTGGGGAGGGCTTAATTTCTTCAGTTCACCACGGTTCCCATCAGTCCTCCACGTTATCCTTCGTCCTGAGTGGTTCATGCTCTCAGTCTGATGGGAAGTGCTACATAAATGCAGTTTACATCCCTTCTGCTTGGGATAGTGAATTTTAGGTCTTGAAACATACACACTCTCACACTCATTTTAACTCTGTTTTTCTATAAAGCAAAATATAGACAATAAGTCTTCACCAATAACACTTTCAACATTTAGACATTGTTCCTGTAGGTATTTAACATGTGCTTCTGTGTGCAGATTCTGACCTTGCAGAGATGAAGGTTCATCACTCCTTGTTCTCCCAAAAAGAGAAACACTGGACTCTTATTTTTTGTAGACTCGCAGGGAAAGAAAAGAAGAGAGTAATCCTGATAACTTTCCAGAGGAAATTGTGAAAGGGAAGCTGGCCCCTGTCATGTGGGCATGGGAATGGTTGAAGCCAGCAGCTCTGAGAATGATGCTCACCATTCTCCTGCACAGGTACTGTGTCTTGTGGATGTCTCTGCCCATTCTTTGACCAGAACTTCCATGAGAAAAATCTCCCACCACCTCTACTCCTGTGGATATGTGACAGCTATGATACTGATGAAAAAACAGGGTCTTGCTGTGTAGTTAGGGAAAATCTCTTCTGGGTAAGCATTGCTTCAGGCAGACTTACAGGTCCATTCATTGAAATTTCAAAAAGCTTCTATAATATGTACCTGGTAGTTAAATATAGATGACAGGGTAACGCTGCATAAAGTCAAAAGTTAGACTAACCTAGGCCTTGAAACCGGGCCCTTCCCCTCCTCTCTGTAAGCATTTCCCTCTAAGTTTCAAGGTAGTTGTGACAATTAAAAAAGATAATATATATAAAATGCTGTGGACACTCTCTGGTATACAGCAGGTACTCAATAATTGCTAACTTTCATTATTGCTTCCCTGTCCATAAAATCCAGTGAGAATTTTCTTTTTTTAAAATAAATTTTATTTTTATATTCCCCATACAATTGTAATCCCCTTATTTTGACCCCAATCCCTCCCCTCCCTGCCCCCCACCCCCCACAGAGTGTCTCTGGTTCATAGTTTTTTGTTGATTTTGATTTTCACTTTCTTATAGTTATTCATTTTCCTGGTCCCTTATTTAAGTTTTCTAGATTCCTGCTATGAGTGAGGCCATTGGGTATTTTTCTTTTTCTTTCTGGCTTATTTCGCTGAGCATGATCCCTTCCAGCGCCATCCATGTTGCTGCAAATTGCATGTGTTTATCTTTTTTGAATGCTGAGTAATATTCCATGGTATATATGTACCACATCTTCTTGATCCAGTCATCTATTTTTGGGCATTTGGGTTGTTTCCAAAGCTTAGCTATTGTAAACAGTGCTGCTATAAACATAGGGGTGCAGGTGCTCTTTGGAATGGATGTTTCTGTGTCCTTTGGGTAAATACCTAGGAGTGGAATTGCTGGATCATATGGAAGCTCTATGTTTAGTAGGTCCAGAAATCTCAGCACAGCTCTCCATAGTGGTTGGACCAGTTTGCACTCCCACCCACAGTACAGGAGAGTTCCTTTTTCTCCACATCCTTGCCAACATTTGTTGTTGCTAGTTTTTTTAATATGTGCCATTCCAGTGAGAATTTTCTTTTGAGTCTTTGCCAATCTAAATTATACCTCTCCATTAATGAGCAACCAGGAATTTAGTGACTAGATAACAACAGCTGGTGTACTGGTTGCACTGTTTTTCTCTTGTAGAAGTCAAGAAAATGAGGAAATTTATAAGCATAGGGTATGACCATATGGGTAAATGGGCTATAAATATAATGGTAAGTGATGTTGTTTGTTCTCTAGCCTTCCATCCAAACCATTCACAGTTGCCATCCAAACCCTCACTCCTGGGCACAAGAAGTTTAATCCCAAGGGTGTGGCAGGCCAGTCCAGGCTACTGTATGACACACTGCTCAGACCTCAACAGTTTTGCTTTTTGAACTCTGGCATTCAGCCTGTCCCTGCCTTGGGTCTTATTCACAGCATTTGTCTTTATTCTGACTCAAGCCTGGATCCCCTCAGACCTTTTGAATATTAGTAAGCAGACTCTTGTGCTAATTATCAAGACCTAAGTTTTACCCAAATACTAATTCTATTCCCCTAGGCGATTACAGACTGAATGCATTGGCTACACCTCCTCGATTTTCCTTCCTTTTCTTCCTAGCCTTCTTCCCCTATGACTTGAATTAAGAAGTTCCCACAGGACCTATACTTACTTGAGGAGGGTAAAATTTTTATTGAAGGTTAACACGCATAAAAAAAAGAAACTGCTCAAATACTAAGTGTATATCTCCATAAATTTTTACAAAATGAAAATTTTTGTGTAACCTATGCCCAGATTAAATCAGTCACAGTTCCTTTCTCTGCCTTGTCCCATTAGAGAATGGCTAAGATGGACCTGCTTCTTTTTAGAAATGAAGTCAAACAATACAGACTTGTCTTCCCCTGACTTATTTGCTCAATACTGTTTATGAGATTCATTCATATAGTTGTACATGGCATGCATATTTATTCCTTATTTTTTTCTTTGTTTTAATATAGCACAACTTAGTTATCCCTTTAGATACTGGGAATATCTGCATTGGATCCAACTTTTTGGCTTTTACAAATATAATGGCTATAACATACTTGCTTGATCCTTTTAGTGAATATCTACACACTTGCGATACATACAAATCTAGGAAATGGCAGGTTCACATGATTTGCACATGCTCAGCTTTAATCGATTGGGCCACATCTTCTCAAAGTGATCACAGCAATTGCTCTTCCTCTGATGGGGTATGAGAACCCCAGCTGCCCCACATCCTATCCACCACTTGGAGCCACACACCCTTTTTGTCTCCCTCATTAGTGCTGCACAACTCAACTGCCTCCCACTGCACTGGGATATTCTCTGTCTCTCTACTCCACCAACTCTCCCTGCACCCTGGCAGCCCCATCTCAACAGCATCTCTGTAGCCATTCATATTTACATTAAAACTAAATTCACCTCTCTGTTTCAAGCACTACCTTATGTGCACTCAGTAAAGAACTGACATTGCACACTATATGTTCTCCTTAGATATCCCATATTTAACTTCTCCTAGCTTGGAGAGAGTTGATATTAACAGATTTATATATATAAATCTGGTGTTAGTGCTATGCATGTGTGAATTTTATAGTTCAAAAATATTGCTATATTAGATCCTAAAACATATAAAACTTTTTAAAAACGATTAAAAATAAAGTGAATAGAAAGGACATAGCAATATTAGAGACTTACTACTCTACAAGAAGTATGACTTCAGTGCCATAATGTCGGAGATATCTTAGAGAGAAGGATTAAAGCTTAATGCAAGTGCATGATACCAAGTCCGTCTGAGATCTGCTTCTTATTAAACTTACCCCAAAGAGAATTCACTCACATTCTTCTTCCTAAATGCAGTTCCTTTTACTAGAAAAGAGATCACATAAATTCTACAGTATTCAATTTCCTTCTAAAGCATTTCTCAGCGGTAAATTTAACTTTTTCCAAAAGTAAAGGACAGATGAGACATGGGAAAAAAAAAAAACACTTCAGGTGAGACTTTTTTTCAAACCACCTTATGTTTTTGTATTCTTCCATATTAAAATATCTGAGCAACTATTTAATACACATAGAATTATGATGAATAAAGTAGAGAATACAGCTTCCCTGGTTTCAAATAATTTATGACTTACAAGAAATAGGTAATAAATACTCCTAAAGAAAACTTTTATTTGTAACCCCCAACTTTTCTCTATAAAGAAAAACACCCATAGTTTTCTATCTGTTCTAGATTTTTTTAAAAGCCCTTATTGTTTACTGGAACTACAGGAAAGTAACCTCAAACTGTTCCTCCAGAAACAGTTATTTCTCCCTTAGTTAAGAGATTTATGTACCAATATGCATTTTTAAAATCTGGTTTAATTATGCTTCCTTTTGTAAATAACCCAGAGTCAGTCATTCTGTTTTTGTAAAAGCATCTCTCCTCTCTCTTTGTCTGTCTGTCTGTCTGTCTGTCTCTCTCTCTCTCACTCACACACACACATACTCACAGTGAAGGCTAGGAAAAATGGGCAATGGATGTGAATTCCTTTTATAACTCAATATTCCAATTTGAATGCAAATTATAAATCTTTCACAAGGGGTCAATTTTACCATCTGGAGTGCGAGACTATATCCCTTAACTTTAAGCAATGATTCTGAGAGCTAAATTTGAACTTATTTTCCCTTTGCCATTTTTGTAACTTTTGTCTTTAGCAGAAGAAAAATGCATTATTCCATTGATTAAAATTAAATGCCTCTGTTGCAGATATCTGTAAGTCTGTTAGACTCCAAAACTACCATTTGTGGTTTTTAATTGACTTTTCCTCGACCTCATTTAACCACATAAACACAAGTCTCTCTATTCTCCCCTTGAGTCATGCATTTAGGTCCTATTAACACTAATGGAATTTATATGCATGCATGCTGAGGGAGAATAAGCCCCTTAAACACCTTTTTAATGGAACAGTTTTGTTTCTTTCCATTCCTCTTCACACTCCTCTGTTTGGATTTTCTCTTACCAGTGTGTGCTTCCAAATAAATGTAGGTCTGATTTCTTTCTCAGCACTTGTTCTCTTCTTTATTGAACTGCAGTGCTCAGAGTAGGACTTGACTTCCCCTCTTTTATTGATCATTCCTGGAAAAAACAGCATGACTAAGTCACTACTACTGTATTAGATTTTCTGGTTACAGAGTGAAATTCAGATGTGGCTTTGGTTCCAGTCCTGTAGTTTCCAGCAAATATATGTAACCCACAGACTATTTTTTATCCTCCTGAAGACTTCACTAGCCAGAAGTCAATTAAGGTAATGAATACTTACCCAGGAGGCTAAAGATTTTTCCACCTTAACATAGAAATAAATAAGCATGTTTTCAGACTCTCCCACTTTATAGTGTTTTTATTTGTTTACACTTTAGGGAAATTTTTTGTTTTGGGGTTTTATTTTGTTTATATGCACCTATAAGCACCTAGGACTGCTGCAACTTTCCAATTTAGAAGAGTAAAGTAACAGGAAAACAAACTGAGCCACGGGAACCATAAATCCACAGGAAGTAAACTACACCTCCAATGCATGTGCTAACAATTATATGTTTGTTCGACTCTTAGAAATGTACTGTTCTTTATTGTTCTTATAATAGCTTTATCACGGACTTTAGGAGCCAAGTTTGTTTTCTTTTTGAATTTGTAAAGTGAGGGACTGGAAAAGACTATCATGACTAAGTACTTAACAGGGTGCCAGACATATAACATAAATTTGAGTTACATAAAATTGCCCTTTTGGCCATCAAAAAAGTGGGGTTAGTGTTGCAAAATACCTCTTGAAAACATCTGTTTAAAATGAACACATGAATGAATGAATGAATGAATGAAGTATCTTTCCATTCTTGAATTTAATTTTTATTCTATGTTAAAAATTTACAAATATAGAATAATTTAAGTTAGTAAAAGTATACACAAAGTAATGGACTTTTTCTATTCAATGAAATAAAACTCTTCAACTGACTAGTCTGTTGTTTCCTCATTCATTTTTCTGGTATAATACCAGAGTACCATAAACCTAGTGTTGATTAATCACCACTCTGGAAGTATGTTTAAATTTTTCATTATAAAGAGATGATATTCAAATATATTTGAGCATTTGAAAAATTGAATTTATATATGACAGATCTGATGGTGCCTGTGGAAAGAACTGAGGATAAACATAAAAACTGAATAAGTAAAAATTCATAAGAAACATTATGTAGGGCCTCCCCTGGTGGTGCAGCGGTTGAGCGCTGGGCTGCGAGGCTGCCTGCAGCTTCTGCAGCGCCGGTTCGATCCCCGGCCACTGGCGAGGGTCCCACATGGCGCGACAGACCTCTCCTGCCGCCCGCTGCTCCCCTCAGCAGTGTACTTCGGTCCTTCTGCCTGTTCTGTTCCCCGCTCTAGCTCTGGTGAATCCTCTCACCCTCCTGCACTTCTGACTGTACCCAGTGCTTATATGGATAAATAAATCTTTAAAAAAAAAAAAAAAGAAACATTATGTAAGAAAATCATGTTCTGTTAAATCATGTTTTACAATAACATAACTCTGTTGATTTAATCCAAAATATTATCTAAAAATATAAATGTCAGTACCAGCAGGAATTGCCCAAAATGTTGAAGATTATGTCTGAGGAATGGAACAAGAACAAGAAAAGGATGAGGAAAATTGCTGCAATAAAAATCAACTACAGAAGACTCCTTGATGACACACCTCACAGTGACGTGAGGTCCCACGTAATTGAGTAACTTGGTGATTGCATCTGAGAAAAGTTGACATCACGGAAGCCATTTTACATGGAGCCCAGGGCAACCATATCAAAGGAATTGTCTTCACAGACAGGCAAACTACCCCCATTCCAAGAAGCCAGCAAGAACAAGAATTATTTGAACGGTACTCTGAGCAGGATTATTGGAAATAACTTTTATAAAAAAATGAACTTTTGTATACTTTTACCTTTGGCCCCTTCACCTGACCTTCTTACTCTGTGACCCTTTCACCTGATCATTACCTTGTCTACTATCTCATTCTCCGTTTTTGTTTGATTAAAAAAGAAAAACCTGACTTGTCCCTCCTCAAGACATGTTTTAGGTTTCTACCTACACCTGTGTACCTGAATTGCAATTCTCTTCTATCCCCAAATAAACCACTTTGACTTGTCTAATAACCTGACTGTTCTCTTGTTGAAGGTTACCAGTTCCTATGTTCTTTGGTAGACTCGCCCTAATTATTCTGTTAACTTTGCATTACTGAAACTCCGTTTTATTCAAAATTGAAATTTTTTGGACTCAGTTTAGAGTATCACGTGGGATTTGCACTTTAACTATATATATTAATGTGATCAAAATTAATTTTAAAAAAACTTGGATTCTACATTGAACCCATCCAACTTTCCCTCCTTTATCAATCACACCCAGCTGTAAGGTGAGAAATTACAGTGAGAAAATAGGAGAGCCGAAGTCGCTTGTAAAAGACTTTGACTTCCCATTCTTACTTTTTCTTTTCCAGTTCCCCACTATTTTCAACCACTGTTTTTCCAGAGCTGACTGATAGGATGGGGTGGGGACACGATCGAAGACATAGTATAAGAAAAAACAATTCAAATTTTTTAGTTTTCCTGCTGTAAGCCTCAATGCAACCTCATTATTTGGCAGTTATATCTTCATTAATCCAATAAAGTAACTTTCACTACATTGTAGTGATATAAAAAATATGAGGACAATAGACTTGATGAAAACTGATTTTGTATTCTCTGACTTCCAAGGTTGGACAATTTTAACTCTACAATAATGTATGTACACATTTTTCATTAGTGTGTTCTCCATTATGTCTAATTTATTATGGAATTAGTCTTTATTAGAATAATTAATCAGATTGATTAATTGAATCTCTGATGTGTACAGCCACCCATACAAAGTGAGCATTATGTGTGAATGCTTAGTACTTAATCAAAACAGCTTTGAGGTTCAATCTTCGAGTGGAAAGAGGGTTATAATTAAGAGTGAATTTTAGCATTAGCCTTTTGGCTCAAGAGATAAAGAAATCCAGAGAAGCAGCAAAATCACTCAAAAGTGGGAAAAATAAATGAGATAATATTCAAAAAGAAAGACCCTCAATAAAGCCATATCTTCTCTGTTGGTCAGATGTGGCAGCCCATGCTCCCAGGCTACTGAGCATCCTCTGAGAGTGAAACCTTCCTGCAGCCCTCAAGTAACCTGGCACCCAAGTTCCAACACTGGCATCTCCTACTAGGTGAGTGCTGCTTCCAGACCATTGCTGTAACTAACTCATGCAAAAGCCTTTTTTTCTGAGCCTTCTCGAAGAGAAGCTGGGTTTAAACCCAGGGATAGCTTGGGGGCTTACATGCCTAATGTTCTGCTTGTTTGTTGAGAAAATAGTTACAAAAAGATGCTATTCATAGAGTTGCTGTGAGCATAAGATGACTTAGCACATGAAACAGGATGGTGCTGGTCACATAATAGAAAGCACAAATACAAATGCCAGCTGTGGTTAAACAGGCTAAACTCAATAATGTGTGTGTGTGTGTGTGTGTGTGTGTGTGTGTGTGTGTGACAAAGACACACACACACTGTGTCTTTAAACCCTGTCCAAGAACTTGTTGACTTGTGTCTTCTTTCCTGTGGATGAAATCATGAACTGGTCCTACAACTTATCCAAAATTTTCTTGTGACACCAATCACTCTCTGTTCCAAGAAGTTATATTGAAGTAATTAAAATTTCTTGCAGTATGAAATCATCAAAATGTCCAATATTAATCTGATGGAGAGATTTTTCTCTACCCCAGCTCAAAACCCTTTAGACCTGCAAGGCTTTATTTGTTGGACACAGTGGGAAGGAACATGAAGCATCCACTTTTACTCTCCCTCCTAACTTGAATGTCCTCTGTCCCAGCAGCCTATAACGGTCACACCTGGGGAGGGTGCTGAGGGAGCGCCCACACCATTGCTGGAATGGCCACTGCTGCTTTGATCTGGCACTGCAGCACTTTGAGTTTGGCATTTGATTAGACCTAGAACTTGCTCCAGTAGAATAGATGTAAAGTTTTCTCAGAAGTCTGCATTTTTAAAGGAAGGGCACCAATAAGCCTCACCCTGATCCCCAGGGCTTTTACCACTCACGCCAGATTCTCTTGTTAGGGTTCTGCTGCCCTCTAAGCAGCCCTCTTGACAAGATGAGTCTAAGCTGGCTCCATGCTGAGTCGACTCCCCTGAGCCCACTCCCAAGGTTTGCCTGCTTCCCCGCAGTCAGTGTAAGGGCATGGCTCTTCCTTTTAAACTTGTCAATTGTGTGTCATACTGTTAGGTACACATCCTAAACTCCAGAGGACGCATGTCAAGTTCCATGTGGCTCCTTGAAATCTTTCTCTTGGAGATCACAGTGTGAATGTTGACAACTCCAGTAGGCCTCATCCCTTCAGCTGTGGAAGGATCAGGCAATGAGACCACAAGTCTCCCTAAATGAATATTTTCTCCCAGTTTCTCAACCGCCCTTACATAGCACAGAGGGGCAGTCCAGCACTTCCCTGGCACATGGCCATTACTGGGCATGAGCTGTTTTATTCTAGCCTGTGGCTCCTCAGTCTGAACTGTGGTTGGAATAGTCCTATATTGTGTGGCATCCTAGCTTTAACTGCTGACCTGCAAGCCACTCTGCATTCCCCCAAGGTCTTTGATGCTGGATCAGTCTTCTGATGCATCTTTCAGTAAAGATTTAATTTATGTGAATTGAATTATACATACTGTGGAGCAAAAGGAAAGGGTAGTGAAAAGACAGATATCTACTTAAACAATGCCTGCAGGTCCACGACCATTCCTTTCTGTGGCTTTATAAGCCTGTGTGTGTTCGAGCTGCAGTGGAGCTGCTGTTTCCTGGGTCATATTCTGTTCCTGACACTCTCGTATTGGGTGTGTCTCACCTTACTGAATATGAGTCTACTCTATGAAGACATTTTTCATGCAACTGGCCCCTAAATGTAAGCCAAATATTTCATATGGTTTTTAGTAAGAGCATCTGTCTGTTACAAAGATGGGAAGAAAACTGAGAACTCGCATATGTTTTTTAAAAAAGAGAGAGAAAAGGAATAGCATGACCCAGGCATGCTGGTTTGCTCAGAACTCTCTGCTTTCAGCACTGAAAGTCCCAGTTCCTGGAAAACCCAAACAAAAGGATGGTTGATCATCCACAGGCAGAGTCAGGGCCTCAGAAGAGCAGGGGTTCTTGGAAGAGAGTGAGGCTGAGTCTGAGCATACTGTGGCCTTGCCTCTAACTCACTTCCCCATCCTTGCTCTCATCCTGCCTTTCCCATTGCTTTACCCTGGGGTAAATGAGAGAAGAAAAATAAGCCCTTGGTGACTCTTGACTTGAGCCAAAGGAATAGACATCTGGGTTACTAATATTTTGTACAAAGTTTTTTGAAAGAGATATTTCTAGAACTTTTCACTGTGCATTTCTCAGAGTCTTGTATACCACAAGGAGGAAAAGGAAATGAACCACAGATAGCGAAGTGGTCTACCCTTACCACACAGTAATTATGGAGGGCTGCTGTTTCCTGTTCTTGGCTATGCCCATGGGCCATTTTGTCTTGATAGATTATGTAACCCTATCTGGCCCTTTTTCCCATTTTTGTTTGCTTTTTTAATCTTTAACCTTTTAAAAAAGAAATCATCTATTTTCTAGCTAATCTGCTGAGTGATCATGAAGCTCAAGTAAGGAAAATGTGATAAATTCATGTGAAAAATCCCTATTCATATCTCTTTCCAGGCCACTCACATTGCAAGCTCATTGTGGCCTAGTCCTGTGCTTATTTCTTTATCCCAAACATTAAAATTTGTCTGTCGGAGATTTCTCAGCATTACTTTCATTGGGCATGTCCAAGAAAAACCATATATATTTATATATACTATAAAAGAAATCAAATCCTTGGCTAATGGGAAAAGGTAGTGGGTCTCACCCCCTTCTAGTTCATGTAATGGGCTGCCTCCTACATTTTTCTGGTCCACAAAAGTGGAATGTAATGGTGGGAATACCACATCAGGTAGGAGGTGGTGGCAAAAGCAGATAAAAAAACTATTTGAGGACAGGGAGAATTTTGGAGAGTTGTTTAAAATGGTGCTGATCCATTAAGGGTTCTTCCAAATATCCTGAAATGATAGAAGCAGTGTTCAGAGCTAGAAACCCAACTCATCAATCCTAGCAGTCAAGCTGAGGACCTCAGATGAGTTTACCTGTACTTCTAATAAGTTTACACAGTAGCATGAGATTTTTCAAAAACTAAGGCCATTTCCAGGGACAAGTACATCCAAAATCAGGACAAAAATAGATAATGTGTTCTAAAATTAGAAATATGTATCTAAAACTTGTACTTGAAAAGTTAAGTACAGCCCGTTTGCAAATGATAGTGGAGAAAACTGTTGTCAGCAGCATCAATTCATTAGTGAGCATCACTGAGATGTGGGTCTCTTCAAAGGACTGCAGTCTCCTTTGTGTGTTATTCTGTTTCCCTTCCAGTTCCATTCAGCCACAGGAGACTCTACCAGAATAGAGAGAACTCGGGGTAGGAGCTATTGGAGGATACATCCCACATCCCTTCCTATCCAACTCCCTCCTCTTCCTGGCAGGTTCTAGTTTGACACTGGTTGCATAGCTTTTTGTAGGGCCACAGCCCCTGTTGAGAGGTCCCTGTGGCATGACTGTCCTCAAAATGTCCATCCACTTGCCCCTCAAGTGGGATGTGACTACTTCCTACTGATGCAAGTCCTGGGGCAGGTTACCTTTCTAGCTTGATTCTTTTGATTGCACTGTTTTAATTTGCTAGGGATGCCATAACAAATGCCACAGACTGGGTGGCTTAACAGAATTTTTTTCCTCACAATTCTGGAGGCTGGAAGATCCAAAACCAAATCGGGCAGGGTTCAGTTTCTGGTGAGTCTCTCCCCTTGGGCTGCGGCCAGCCACCATCTGTGCTCATGTGACCTCTACTTTGGGCAAGGAGAATGGGGCTGGGGGCGCCAGATTGCTCTCTGGTGGCTCTTAAAAGAACACTTATCCTATAGGATCAGAGATCCTACATGGTGGGATCCTATGTGATCTCATTTAAGCTTAATTGCCTCCCTATAGACTCTATCTCCAAGTACAGTCACACTGGCAGCTGGGGCTTCAACTTATGGTCTGGGGGAGAATACAGACATCCCCTCCATAACATATGCCCAGGCCTCTATAAACAGTCTCTCCCTTAAACATTCTTTAATTAACTCATTTGAGGGTTTTATCTGCTTCATGACGGGGCACTGACCAATACATGTACAAGTGATAAAATGGTATCTGGATTAGATAGGTTAAAAAAATTAAGGGCTTTTGGGCCTCCCTGATGGCGCAAGGGGTTGAGCACCGCAGTGTGGGGCAGTCCGCGCCCTCTGCAGCACGAGTTTGATCCCTGGCCAGCCAGGGAGCAGCCCACATGGCGCAGCAGACCTTTTCTGACTCGCTGCTGCTCCCTTCAGTGTTGTGCTTCGGTCAGTCTGCCTGTTCTGTTCCCCACTCTGTCTCTGGTAAGTCCTCTCACCCCCTACATCTCTGGCCTGTACCCCAGCTCTTGTGTGCATAAATGAATAAATCTTTCAAAAAAATTTAAGGACCTTTTTTTCTGACATTTTCACATCATTAAAGTATTTGTCCTTATTTCTTTTTTTGTATAAACAGTGTAAGAATCAACTGCTTTCAAAACAATTGCTTCATTTTCCTCAGCTTTTTAAATATAAACTCTCTTAAAAATCTTAATTATAAAACATCCCCAAAAAGAATAAAAAGTTCAGAAAAAAAGAACAAAACGCCCCCAAAAGGAACAGTCATCACAATAGATGACTAATACCACTGAACAATAGATTCACCATCTAGGAGAAGCAGCCACAATGTCATTCTAGTTAACAACGTGCCAGTGCTTTTATAAAGCTCTCTGCAGCTTGAACAGTATTTTTATATAGGAAGATTCCCAACTGCCTCCTGAGTACAATTCTCCTTTTTTACTTTGGAAATACAGCTAGATCTGGTTTTTTGCTAAACATGTAGCCACTGAGCTAACAGACAGCAATTTCCAGCCTCCTTTCAATGAGGTATAAATATGTGACCAAGTTCTCTGAGATGTGAGGGAAGTGGAACATACAGAATGCTTTCTCAGGACAAGGCAGGAGCATCCTTTTCCCCTTCCTCTCTTTTCTGTTGTCTGGGATGTAGGA